ACATGCTTCAGAGGTATTTTCACAAGTGGTGAAAACATCTCCCTGTGTGGTGACACACAGGGCAGACATCGCTGGATGCGTACGTATGAAAATCTAGAAGCAGGGGACAGCGTTGCCTGACCGGAGACAATTAGTGACATTTACTCAGGAATAGACGTGAAATTACGCGTTAGCCTTTGTTGGATGGCCTGAGTGTATAAAGTGACCTATGATACCGTAATTAGATTTTGAATCTGTATAGTCACTGAAGATATTCAGGAAAACACTTGGGGGTTGTCGCTTTCTTGGACCAGCGGACTCACGCAGAGCAAGTAGAAAGGCCTCAGAGAGTGACCACTGGCCCAGGACTGCTCACACGGGGTGAAATGCTCCACGGGCCACAGCAAGCCAGTGAGACTGCTTTCACGGGGCCGTGACCAGTCTGCAGGCCACTGGTCTGCCTCAGAGTTAAAACCTGTGTTTTCATGTATTTACATTTAAAGGCACGTGCCTGCTTGTGTCGATCCCCAAGCTGTATGTTTAGGGCAAAAACGGTATTTTTTTTTTTTTTAACCCTTCATAACTTTTTTGTTATGTCACACAGTTTTTTTTTTTTTTTTTAATGTTTTTATTTGTTTTTGAGAGAGAGAGAACGAGAGAGAGTGTGACCGGAGGGAGGAACAGAGAGAGAGGGAGACACAGAATCCGAAGTAGGCTCCAGGCTCTGAGCTGTCAGCACAGAGCCCGGTGCGGGGCTCGAACTCACGAACCATGAGATCGTGATCTAAGCCGAAGTCGGACGCTTAACGCACCGAGCCACCCAGGCGCTCCTCATTGGTCTTTTGTTATTTGATACTTGGAAAAGTTTTCACTGATGTTAAAATAGAATGTTTATGAAAAAGAGGTTTCCTCTCTTGAGAGAAGATCGGAAATGTTTTACTTCTGAAATGAGATTTCTCTTACGCGTAACTGTGAAAGATTTCATAGCTCGCAGTTGCCAAAGATGAGGATTAGATGGGCTGCACGGGAGGGCGGCCAGGTGCCCTGGCTGCCACCTTGTCAATTCAGAGAGCTCGGGCACGATCCCATTGCTGCCAGATAGTAAAACAAGTTTTCAAACAATGCCAGAAACCACATATTTTTAGAAGAAATCTCCCCAATTCTACTTTAAAAAAGAAATCATTGAGTACCTAGCAGAAGTGCGTCTGTGAGCTCACCCCAGACTTCTGGCCCCAAGTCTATGGATCTGTTTTAAAACATTACTTTTGTGATTATGTGTCCACAAACATGCAGTCCTGTGGCCAGAACTCAGTCATGGGGTTTACCTGTAGTCCCAACAGTTGGGACTTGGGTGTGGTTGGGACAAGGACCCTCATAGGCGGGAGGGCCCTAAGGTTCAGCTTTCTGAAGAATTTTGTACAGCTGCATTGGGTCTCACACCAACTCCACAATCAGACACCAGGAGCGCACAGTCTTGCCAGAAGGTTCTTCACCCCATAGGCCCCAGTTTGGTTCCTTGGGGGGGGTCCCCTCAGGAGCCAAACCCCCAGCAGCTTTAAATACTGAAACTGTGCTTAAAATTTCATCTGACAATGGGGCGCCTGGGTGGCTTGGTCGGTGACTGAGCATCTGACTTCAGCTCAGGTCACGATCTCAAGGTCCATGAGTTCCAGCCCCTCGTCAGGCTCTGTGCTGACAGCTCAGAGCCTGGAGCCTCCTTCAGATTCTGTGTCTCCCTCTCTCTCTGCTCCTCCCCTGCTTGATTGCTCGTTTTCTCTCTCTCTCTCTCTCTCTCTCTCTCTCTCTCTCTCAAAAACAAATAAACATTTAAAAAAAATATTTCGTCTGACAAACAGCCGGAAGTTTGAAAACCAACAGACCAGCTGCAGATACGTGAGCAGTAGACTGGCTTTAGTGTGTCCATTTCAAGGAATCTCCTCTCCACCTTCTACAGTGGCTGTTTGGCCTGGAGACGAAGAATTTGTCAACCTAAGAGCAGCTCTTTGTCACATACCTCCGTTAGAATACCGCCTGTGTTCCTGTCAGAGGTCAGACTGACTCCGCTGTGCTTGTGCACACAGGTCCCTCTGGAGTCCTGTCACGCGTACGCAGGGTCAGACGCACTTGGAGAATTCCCTCTGCCTTTGGAGGGAAGCGTGTCAGGAGCGGTTTAGGCTGGTTGTGCTCTGGGAGCCACACTCCCGGGAAAACGAACAAGGGAAGTGTCGTCCTGGCGTCGTCGGCAGAGACCGTGAACTTGTGTTGGTTTCCCCAGCTGCTTTGGCCTCGTGTGCGGAAAGCTGGTGTAAGGTGATGTCTTGTGGGCAGCTTGCACACTGGGTCGTGACGCGTCACAGGTGTGAATGGGCAGCATAAGGGCGAAGGATCATCTCCTTGTGGGTTTCGGCAAACGGCAGGTGCGCCTGCGGGTGGTTCGGGCTCGGGGGGCCTGGCTCAGCAGTGGGGTGGGAATTCGTGGCGTCCTCTCTCTTTCCCTTTCCCCCTACCGCAGAAATGTTGGCAGTGTCCTTGAAGCCCCTGTCTGCTGAGAATTCACGTGATGACGGGGGGAATGGCTTCAAGGGCCCCTGGGGGGTGGGGGCGGGGGGGGGTAGTCCCAAATGTGGCTCTTGAGTGGAGGTGTATATGAGGGTACCCGAATGGAAGAGAAGGCCCAGGGTCAGAAGGTGTGGGCACCAGGACTGGCAGAAATGGCACAGAGACCAGGCAGGCCCAGTGGGAGCAGGAGAGGGGTGCCCCAGCAAGGCTTGGGGACAGCCCACCCCCCGCGGCAGCTCACAGAGGAAGCCTGGTTCTACGCACACCATTTCACACCCCTTGCGTGCACCTGCTCCCCACTGGTTGAGGCCAGTGGGTGCCTTTCCAGGAGAGCAGGGCAAAGAAAGGGTGCGGCAGGAAGGTGGCAGGTGGACCCGGGTGTGGACGTGGGCTGCCGGGGGACACCCAATGGGAGCAAGCTCGTCGGCTGCCCAGACGCTGCCCTGTTGTCATAGGGATCTGGCCAAGGACAAGCACATCCAGGAGACCGCTAAGGGCACCCCGAGTGTGGCGGATCCCTGGAGGAGCGTGCGGTCTCCCCCTTAGTGCCACCCCCGCTGGCCTGGGCCGCTCCTCTGTGTCTGAGATGCCGGACACCTGGCCCCCCTCCCTCCCCAGGCTGCCGTGGGGATCAGCGCCGGAGCAGGTGCAGGACTGCTAGCCAGCGCCGTCGTTCGGGATGTGTGTTTCCAGGACTTCAGGGTCTGGGCGAGCCTGAAAATCAGAACCTCGGTGCTTAGGAGGGACGTGGTTAAACTGGCTCCTGACCCTGTGGGTAGACAGAGGAGCCCGGACGGGGGCTCCCGACCACGGCCCTGTGCACTTCCCTCGGGCATCTCTGATACCAGGAGCCCGAGGTGATGAAGAACTCTGGCCGTCGGTGTTGTTCCACGTCCATAGTGATTTCCGGGTACCTGATCTCTAGCAGGTGCGCTCAGAATTACCTGCGGATCTTCTGAAAAGACAGGTGCCGGGTCTGGGCCTGGGAGTCTGCATTTCTAACGTGCTCCTGACTCTTGGGAAGATCTGGGTCCGTCTTTTCTTCCTTTCCTGTGGTGTTGTTGTTTTTTTTTTTTTTTTTTTTCTGGAATCGGGCAGACCTGCCTAGGAATAATTTCCCTTATGACTTTCCAGATGCGCCCAGTTCAGATAACAGCCTAAAATCAGCCTCCTTTCTTAAGGTAGAAATACACTTTTTTGAAGCAAAATCTTTCATGTTCCTTGATCACTGGCTCGTTACGTTTGAGTAGATGATTTTGTGACTTTGCCATGCTCCGTGGGATTATGATCAGGGTGGGGTCCGTTGTTTGGAGTGGAGCCCTGGTCCCCACCTCCAGTGCAACAGAGGCACCAGAGTCACCAGGTGCTGTTGGAGACGTGCATTCTTTCAAGCCCCACCCCCAGGCCTCCCGAATCAAAATGCAGACATTTTGAAGCCTCTGTGTTCAAAAAACTCCACAGGTAATTCTGGTAATTGGCCAGATTTGGGAACTACTAATCCAGCCTATGTATTTAAAATCCTGTGCTATGAAAACCTTCTATTAAAGCAATCGAGAACTTAATTGGCTCTAAACTAAAATAATCAGGGGAAAGTTGAAAACAAAACAGACCTAGCGCCTTTGAAAGTCTGCATAACCCGACAAACGACTTCGCTCCCAGCAAGGTGTGATTGGCCCGGCTTTAGAGAGAGGCACTTAATCATGTTTTTGAGTCTAAAATTGGTGTGACCAGACGATCATTCATTCTGATGCTGAGCACCTGTCTCATATCATTAAGCGTATGATGGGACCCTTTCCATCACAGCCCCTCTGTGCCGTGCATTCGCTGAGGCTGTTTTTCCTCTGCTCCGTCTCTTCAAGGATAAGAGTAAACTTACCTGGTTTAAAAGAGCCTGCGTCTCCTCCGATGTCACATTTAGGAGCTTTGATTTGTGCTGATCATCCAGTACAGCTTCACCACGAAAGCCGTCCTGTGGCATCAGGCAGTTGGCTGCCTCTTGTGGCCGTTTTCATTTCGGTTGACGCGTCGCCACGGTGGGGCTCCTGTGGGGTTCGTCTCGCCGGCCTGCTGGGACTGTGGCTCTTCTTCCGTGTTCACCCCTGCTCCGCCTAGACGTGACGTTGTGTCGGCATCTTCGTTTGGGACCATGCCGTGTGGCTGGGCTCCTTTACGGGGCGTCATCAGGCCCC